CGGGGAGGCTCCCGGGCTCCAGCAGCCGCAGCCGCGCGGGATCCGTGGCAGCAGCGCAGCCAGGCCCTCGGGCCGCAGGCGGGACCCGGCGGGGCGTACCGCAGACACCGGCTTCAACGTCTTCACCCAGCACGGTGAGTGTGTCCGGAGCCGACGGAGGGCGTGAGGGGGGGCCGGGGGTGGGGTGGGGTCGGGGCGAGATGCGAGGCGGACGGGCAGCCCTCGGGGGCAAGGGCTGGAGGGGTGCCCACGAGTGGGGGCGGAATCTGCTGCCATCTGGGCCAGTCACGGGAGGCGAGGCACTCCCCTCCCCCCGCACGGCTCGGCTCTCCAGCCTGGCTGGCAGCGTCTGGGGGCGGCGGCGGCAGAAAGAGCAAGCAGGGGTCTTAGGGACACAGGCTAGACTGTCTGCTGTCCTGGGACAGGACGGGGCGAGTGTGGAACGAGGGTTGGTGTCCCTAGGGAGGGAAGAATGAAGGCAGGTATGAACTCAGGTTCTGGAGGTGGGAGGATAAACCGGTTGTTAACGACGGGAACGAGTCGTGCCCTGAGGAATTGGGAAATAGGTACTGCATCTTGAGATCGTGGCATATTCGGTGTGTGTTTTATTAATCAGGCACTGAGCAGTGTCCGAATGGTGAGCTGTGAACCCTTTTTAGTGTCTCTTTACTTTCAATTAGAGTATTTTCCCTAAACTAAAAATGAAAGGCTCTGCCAAACCACCCTGTTCTGTGTGTCTAAGTAGGACCCAGGATTCTGAGATGGCTGGCAGGGTTGTTAGATGGGTGGGTATGGCTGGGGCTTCCGTTTGGATAGGAATGTGAGTTTTCTTTGAGCCGCAGTTGCGTGTACATAATATGCATAGGTCCTCTAGGTCGTATGGAACTTGCGCCGTCTCATAGCGTCCTCAGAAGAGCTGTCTCTAAACTATTTAAAATTATATTTATTTCGTGTGTGAGTGTATGTGTGCGGGCGCGTACATGCAGTGTTCAGAAGACAACTCGGGGAATCCCTTCTCTCCTTCCACCATGTGAGTTTCAGGTATTGAACTCATTCATCATCAGGCTTGGAGACAAGTATCCTTACTTACTGAGCCGTTTTGTTGGTCCAGTGTCTCTAAACTCTTAATAAATACAAATTTTGGGCACATACTCTATTAATTTGTGTGTCTTTATTATATGCTCTAATAATGTAGTTAACAAACAGAAATGAGTATAAGAAAGAGTGCAGTAGGAAAAATTGAGTATAGAGTTCTGTAAATCAGTGACATTGCACACAACTTGACCGAGGCACTGAGTTCAAGCCTCAGCAGCAGCAGCAGCAGCAAAAAAAAGAAAAGAAAAGAGTATTACTATTTTTTCCCCCTGAGGCCAAGTGGATTCTTTTGTTCCTCTGTAGTGTTGTTGACCCTTTTTCAGAGAACTTTCCTAGGGAGGGCAGACTAGAGAAGGGGGAAAATGCAGAAGATATCCTAAGACCCTCAAGAGGCTGCTGATGTAGATGTGACTTCTAGAGAAAGGACTGGCCCGTATAAGCTGGTTGAGAAGTAGCAAAGTTCAGTTTCACTGAGAATACATGTAGAAGCAAAGTAAAGGGTAAACACTGCCCCACACATAGCTTGGGGAGAGGGAAGGTTAAGAAGTGTAAACTAGTCACAAGGAGGAGGTGACGATAGATGGTAGCATGCCAAAAAGAGGTCCCAGCGCTTTATAGCTGTTGGTTGAGTTGTGTCTGAGTTCTGAATTTGGACTCTTTTGTTTCCCTTTTCCTTTCTGAATTTTTAAAAACCGGTTAAAATTTTTGTGTTTGGGTGTTTTGCTGCATGTATGTCTGTGTGCCATGTGCCATATGCATGCATACCTGATGCCCAGAGAGGCCAGCAGGAAGGCATCAGGTCTCCTCCTGAACTGGATGGTTGGTGAGCTGCCTTGTGGGTGCTGGTGATTGAGCCTAGCTCCTCAGGAAGAGCAGTGGGTGCTCTTAACCCCTGAGCCATCACTCCAGCTCCAGAGTTGTTTCTTAATGGAGGAGGTAGGTGATTTGGAGCCATCTGAGTTTTAAGTTTTATATGCTCACTATTAAAGATGTGCTTGTGCAGCACAAGGTATGTGAATTTATATGCAGGGGGCTATTCATAAAGTGTTTATTGACATGCTGAAACATTGGGAACAGGGTTAACTGCTTTCAGGAAGAAATTCATATGGCTTTGCTTTATGGGGTTACTGTGTTAAGTGTGGTCCAGTGGGCAGCGGTGACCCCGTCCTTCTTTTGCCTGTAAGGAAGAAGAAGTTGTGAATAATGGACAAAGAGGGTTTTGAAGGCCACACTTGATTTGGACCTGTGGAGCTGGAAAAGAGCAGATTAAGCAAAAGACAGCTAAACAGTGGGATGTCGTGGATGAAATAGTCAGGAGACACTAGAGTAAAATTGTGATACAGAGCCTAACTGTGCAACCTTGGCTGGCCTGGAACTTACTATGAAGAGCAGGTTGCCCTTCAGGCTCACAGAGATTGGCCTGCTTCTGCCTCCTGAGTGATGGCCTTAAAGAGGTGTGCCAGCATGCACATGTGTAGGGTCTTTGTTTAGTGGAGGCCACCCTCCGACTTGCAACCCCTACTCACTCAGACTCAGATGCTGGTATTATGGAAGTGAGCACCCAGCTGTCATCATTGAGTTTGTCTGTGGAAGAGCTGCCCTTTAAGTTTGAATTTAATTACTCTTAATTGAGAAATAACAGGAACAAAACCTTTAATTGAAAGAGACTGGATTATGGGAACTCTGGCAAAAGTTTCATCAGTTTAATTGATTGGCTGTAGTTTATAGATTTTATCAATAAACTCAGGTATGAAATATAACGCTGGGAACTTGACCTTAAAGTTGGTGGATTAGCAGCAGTGGGTGTAGGCTGTGAGTTTTGTTCATTTAGTGAGTACGAGTGCTTTTGAGTACCTGTTGCACTCTGAGGGCCTTGTGAATGTTGAATGTGAGTCCTTCATGAACTTAAGGGACTTGAACCCCCGCCTCCCCCCAAGACAGGGTTTCTCTGTGTAATAGTTCTGGCTGCCTTGGAACTCGATTTGTAGAACAGGCTAGCTTTGAACTCTCAGAGATCCATCTGCCTCTGCCTCCCAAGTGCTGGGATTAAGGACTTGATTCTCAGCATTCTCTTTGGCATTGTTGAAGGTGGGAGCCCTGGGGCCCTTGTGTCAGTATTTGAAATCTGACTGTTTATTTCCTGTGTGACCCTGGGCTAATTATATATTGGGCTCAGCATTTGCAAAATAAGAATTATAAGAGTACTCAGTAGTTTATCAGTTAATATATGCAAAGCATTTAGAATAGTGCCTTACACATATTAGGAATTCAGTGTGATGGTGCACAACTGTAGTTTCAGTACCTGGAGGTGGAGACAGGTGGATCTCTTTGAGTTCAACGCCAGCCTCGTCTAAAGTGAAACTCTCTCTCTCTCTCTCTCATATATATATATATAATTTTCACTATATTTCAGTGTGTCTTACCTCTTGTCATCATCCTTATTCTTTTTATTTTATGTGCATTGGTGTTGCCTGTGTGTATGCCTATGTGAGGGTGTCAGAAACTTTGGAACTGGAGTTACAGACAGGTGTGAGCTGCCAGGTGGGTGTTAGGAATTGAACCTGGGTCCTGTGGAAGAGCAGCATGTGCTGTTAACCACTGTGCCATCTCTCTAGCTCCTATTCTTATTAAAAATGAGGATGTGTCAAAGTTAAAGTCAAGGTTTATGACTGGGATAAATGATTTTATTAGCAAGGTTGAAAGTTAGAAGCAGATGGATAGGATGTGAATATGGTAGCCAAAGACTAGTATGAAAAGAGTCGAAATAATAAATACTGGAAGAAATAAAGGTAAAGTAAGTATTTTTAATTTTGTGGGATGGTAGACTGGGGGATTGAACTGAGGGTCTCATACAAACTAGACAGTACTCTACCACTGAGCCAATATATATCCGTTACATTCAGACTACCACATTTCTAACAGTAGTGCCCACGAAAGATAAACTGTCCCACCTGGGAGGCTGAGGTTAGGAATGTGAAGACATTCTTTGCTTATACTTAAGGAGACAAAAATGGGTACTTCAGAGGACTAGGGAGATTGCTCAGTGGTCAGGCACTTGCCCAGCATGTCCAGTCCTGTCTTTAACCTCTTGTGCTGTTTTAAAAATAGACAGACAACTGAGGCTGAGGCTCTGAGTTTAAGGCCAACCTGGTCTACATAGCAAGTATACATTTGGCATTGTTGTGAAAAACTAATCTCGGTCAACATGGAACTAGTATATAAATCACTATCCTATGCCTATAATCCCAGCCCTTGGAAGCTGAGGCAGATGAATTGCTGTGTATTTGAGGTCAGCCTGCGCGTATGCAGTGAGTATCAGACCAGCAAGGGCTGTGTAGCAAGATTACATCTCAAAACACTGGGAAGAATTTGCTGTCTTGAGTTTATTGAATTATTAGCTTGTAAATCCATAACTAAAAGGTTTGGTGTAGAGCTGGAGAGATGGCTTAGTAGTTGAATGCTTGCTGCTCTTACAGAGGACCTGAGTTTGGTGACTAGAACCTAGTCTAGGTGGCTCATATCAGCTTGTAAGTCCAGCTCCAGATGATCTGATGCCTTCTGGCCTCCTCCAACACTTTTAAACACCCTGCCCCCTACTACTACGGAAAATAAATCTTAAAAGCATAATAGAGCCGGGCAGTGGTGGCTCATGTTTTTAATCCATGAACTCTGGAGACAGAGGCAGGCAGATCTCTGTGAACTTGAGGCCAGTCAGGTCTACAAGAGCTAGTTCCAGGATAGGCTCCAAAGCTACAGAGAAACCCTAAAAAAAGTGTGATAGACTCTTGAGTTTACATGTAGATGTAAATTTTTTAGATTATTACTTTGCTAATAATTTTTAAATTATTATTAAATTGTTATTGTGTGTGTGGGTATGTGATGTGTGTTTGAGTGCAGAAGTACATGGAGGTTAGAGAACAATCTTTGGAAACTCTTTCCCTTCTTTCATGGGTTCATGTCATCAGGCTTACACAGCAATTGATTTTGCTTGCTGAACTGTCTCACTGGCTCTCTATATAAATTTTAATGTAAATAATAT